AGGACCAAGAGAGTGTGTTGTGAGTTCAGGTACTTGGGAGTTTTTGGCATCCCCGAATGCGTTAACACGTTTGAAAACATGTGGGATCTAAGACTAAGATCTAAGATTCTCCCCACTGCAATTACAACAAAAAGGTATTGAAAGTTCCGGGGGGTACCAAATTGAAATGTGAGTCAAGCTAAACACAGGGTGCTGAGAAAAGGATCAGACCCAGAGTTGAACAGCAGCGTGCAAGAAGGGAAAAAGCCTGAAATCCAGTGTTGAGCCTGCACTGAATCGCATGTTTAGCATGGGTTCCATCTCTGATACAAACGTAAAGAGGATCAAATCCAGAGGCAAGCCTGGAAGGACGGACAAGGCGCTGGAATGGAACAGGCTTGAATCTAGAGTTGAGGAAAGAGCAACATCTCTTGCTTCCACCCCTTTTCCACAAACGAATGCTTCACTTGAGAAGCACGACTGTAGTCTTCCAAAAAGTCTAAGCACCGCAGTCCGGGATCTTCCACGCACGATTGAGGCACAGCCCCAGACCACCTGAACGGCCAAACTCAAGCAGCAACACGTGCTTCTAGTAGCTTCTAGTTTCTAATAGCGATGCCCTTCTTCCTAGTAGTAAGGCCAGGAGCCCCTAGTAGCGTCCTTGTTCCTAGTAGCGGTGCCCTTTGCTCCGTTCGTAGCGTCCTTTGCTCCGTTCGCTGCTTCGCCGGAAACGAATGGCTTTCGCCGCACCTGCTGCTTCGTACTTGGTGGCAAGCATCCGATCCTCCTCACCGAGGGCCATGAGCGCCTGCGAAACGTAGGAATCCTAGGGCTTCCTGGTTGAAGCAAAGTGGGACGAATCGATTCAAGACACAAAAGCCCGGCTTTTGGGCCACCACAAGGTGGAACTACATTGGCACTGTCCATGCTGGTGGAAACGCACAGGATTTCTCTCAAAGCCCATTAATCTGAAACACTGCCTTGTATAGCAGCAGGGCCCCAGCACCAACATCCATTGCAGCAAACGAGCTTGACAATATTAAATCTGTTTCACATAGCCGCAAAGTTGCCTGCAACAAACTGTTTCATTCCACAGCTGCAAGGGAAGTTTGGCGTCTCTGGCTTGTGAACAACTCAAATTCTGAAACCACCCAAGTTTCGCCATGGGTCTGTTAAGGTTTGGCCCAATGATTCTGAATCCTGAAAATGTTAGGTTCGTGTTCCTGGGCAAAAGCCATGGGACATTCTTCTGAAACGCCAAGAAAGTAGGAAACCAAAACCAATTGGGAGGATGTGCTGAACTTTCACCACCAAGCCCACCCCAACCAAAAATTGAATGGTCATAGAAACAGCAGCACCTGGCTCTGGGATGGTTGCGATGGTTCCCCTCCTGGCAGGCATGGCATACGTGCCAAAAACAACAGCAAACTACCAGGCTCGAGCGGCCCTGGTGCACCCAACACCACTGAACACCAATGACACCCATGACCCAAGCGACATCCATGGTGATCCTTTGCGGACTTTCTACAAGTTTGCATTGCTTGCGTCACTGACATTCTCTCCAATAACCTCTGAATGTTTATCCTGTCCTTGACCCAAACATATCCACCCTGCATGAGTATCTTCAGCATGGAAAAGTCATTCGCTACATGCTGATGCATCACTTCTGGCTGATGTGGCGACATCTCCTTCAGATCGCATCTTCCACCTCAAGCCATCAAACTCCATCCCGTCAAACCTGGGCCAAAAGGACGAGAGACGTTTTCTTGGGGAAGCCGAGACGTGCCAGAGAGACGTTAGCCAACCAATCAGCCACTTAAGATACTTTAGTAAGGAGGTACCCTAGTTTGGTAAGGAGCTAGGCTTGAGCAAGCTACAGGGCACGCGGGAAAGCTCAGGCTTCAAAGAAGCTTCCGTTGTCTGACTGGGAGCTTCCTTGAAACTTAAGAATCTACAATATAGTCAAAAAGGAATAGTTTGCAGAGTATGCCCAACAATATATATATATATATATGTATAAAACCTATTGAGATCTACAATGATACCAAATTTGTTCAGCCCGTGTTCTCTCTTCGTTTTGCTCTGTGGCCCACGGCTCAGGACCCACCTCCGCGAAGCGTCCAGGCTTGTGGCCGGGGTGCATCTCCTGACCCAGGGCTGTGGAGACTGTTTCGAACAAAAAACACTTTTGAGACGGAGAACATCCCTCCAACAACCTTATAGCAATGGCCTCCAACCTTATAGCAATGGCCTCCAGCCTAGTAACGATGGCCTCCAACCTAATAGCGATGGACTCCAACCTAATAACAATGGCCTCCAACCTAGTAGCGATGGCCACCAACCTGACGATGGCCTCCAACCTAATAACAATGGCCTCCAACCCAGTAGCGATGGCCTCCAACCTAATAGCAATGGCCTCCAACGTAATATAGAACACTTTGAGACGGAGAACATCCAGAGGGAACATCTCAAGCTGAACACTATTGAGCCTATATGTAGCTCTTTTGAAGCATCTACAGACGTGCTGAATGTTTGTCTGTTGCACCAAGATCTGTCAAGCTCAATTAGATTGTGATAATGACTCATGCAGTTGAGCCATGTGTCAAAGCACTGGTGTTTGGACATGCTGTTCAACACTGTCAAGCGGAACAATTGTTCAAGCTGATTGTGAACACCTGAAAGGTGCATGTCATAAACAACACTCAGGAAAAAAGAATCAGGCTGAAGCACATTTAAAGCACTGCAGCTCGCATGAAGAATGATGGCAAAAAGAAAGCAGGAACGCAGGTGGACTCGAACTTGCTCGTACTAGATATATATATATATATCAACATATCTAGCAAAGGAGAGGGTCCTTGAAAACATGGTTGCAGAGACTACCTCGCTGTATTCGTCCTACCTCGCTGTATTCGTCCAACAGCTTCATGGACCTGAAAGACCGTTCGGTGAACGCAGTGCGGTCCCTTGGACCGTCGCACTGGATGCCACATACCCAACCACCTAAACACCCAAAAAACAACCACAATGATCGCTTGACAATGAGTTGACTTCATCACTTCACGCCACAAAAGCACAGATACAAACGCAAACCGCACAAGCTCATGCAGACTCATGCACAAAGGAATCCTCCGCATAAACAACTACGGTCACCTCTAACATCTACACATTTGTGAATGCTGGGGACAGGGCTTGGCCACCCTCTCCGCGCTTTCGGCTTGCTGGCCTACATCCTGGTGCAATCCATTCAAAGCCATCAAAATCCAAAGTCAAACATCCATAACAGTAAACATCGATGGACCTCCCCCACGTCCTGCTCAGCTATATCTGGAGCACCACTCTCTGTCATCTCGGGCTCCAGAGGTCCCTTCTCGACAGCAAGATCATTACATACACAACTGTCAAGGCTATGCGGCTATGTCAGGAACAGCTCCATTTTCAGGCATCTGCTTCTGAATCTTTACATTGCATCTTATTCAGTTCCCCATGTGCTCAGTTTCTGCCACCTGTGAATGGCGGGAGGTGCTTGGGGTACTGGAGGCACGTCTTGCAGCAACAACCTAGCAGGGCAAATCCAACAGGTTGTACTCTTGCACCTGCCTCCTCCCAATGCATTTCTTCCGAGCCCGGACTGTTCCAACGTCTGAGCCGGCCGAATGTCAGGCGCAGCTTCAGCTCGGTGGGCCTCCGACACCCTGAGCTTCGCTTAGTCACAGAGGGTTTCCAGCCAAGCAGCTGCCAACACACCAGCCCAGGCCGCGCCATGGGATGCCTCCGGACTCACAGGATTCTGGTCTTGGAACTTAAAGCCTTCCTTGTCAATGATTGACACGCTGACACGCGGAAGTATAGCAAATAAGATCCCAAAAGGAAGGCAAAAGAGGTCTATATGAGTAGACATGATCGTGCAGGCCTCTGGTAAAGGACGCACTCTGGAACATCTCCACTGCCTTGCAGCAGCGCGGAGCGGCCTCACAACTGACAGGCATCTGAACAAATTTGCCTGGCCGCACTTAGCACATATCTGTTCCACCGGCCATCAACGCTTGTTCAATCAAAGAAGATTTGAATGATGGCTCGGAGAAAATTGGGGAGAAAAGAGTACTGCTCCAACGCACGCCTGACCAGTTGCTGCATGCCAGCCTTTGAGAAATGCACAGTTGTCATTCGTCCATGGGTGCTTTCCCCATCGTCCCATGCTTTCAGTACTTCTTGTTGCATTCGCTTTCGTATTTCCAGTCTCAACCTGCATTTGAGGCGAAGAAATAGTGTGTGGAGGGTTAGCGGCTACCTGTATAACTCATTCAACACGTGTCCAACCAGTTTCCAATCAGCCAAAAAACAGCTTCTGGGGCCCGCGCTTTCGACTCCCAGCTAGGGTTTGCTGCAAGAAGCATGGTGTGTGTCAATAAAAGCGTCTTGTTTCTGAAAGCTGTCCAAAACTTTCCAACTCTCGCAGGCTGTCTCCGATAGTTTGCAATATCTTATATCCCAAAGTCACATGAAGGTGAAGTGCTGTTGAAACCTCTGGGCCAGTTACAATGGAGGTACTGTATCTGAGGGAGATGCGACTTGCTTCTTCAGGCCATTGTCTTCATATTTTTGAGCCAAAATCAGCTACGATATGTTGAAACCTGCACCTTTCTGCATGGAAGTCTTTATTCTAGCCAAACAATTCCAATGATTCTAATGACTGCATGTTGGATGAAAGATTTTGAACATTGTTTCTTCCATGCGCAGTCTTTGCGTGTAGCTGTAGCCGAGACCTTCACTCATTTTCTGCACACAAGCGAAGTGTAGAAACTCGAGCATCCTGGATAAACACACTCCATGGTCGGTGGAACATCTTCTTCGTCTTCTCAACCTTGCAGTGAACGTGCCCCTTCAAAATCCTTGAAAGCTGATCTGCAAGGTGCTGCAAGGATCTCCAAGTTCACACCTCCAGAAACTCCAGTGATCTGTTGGACGTCTTTGAGGACCGATTCGACACAAGACGTTGGACGCGTCTTCCACGAGTTGGACATTCACTCCTCAATCCACGTGAGCGCCTTCCGATCTGTGTTGCAATCAGAGTGAAGGATCACATCTGTGTTCTGTCTGGGATCCACTGCACCTTCATATGGATGAATGCAGCGCCCTGATTCGTGCTGTATGAGAAATCCGCCCTTCACAGCAGTGGAAGGGATCTTCTTGAAGCGCGGCTGGTTGGTTGTAGCAGCCTTGGATCCCAAGGGAATGCATTGCAGAAACTACATCCAAAGTATAATATTTCACCCTTTGGCCTTTTCACACTCAAAACATGATTTGTTCTGTTTCTATGTGTATGTATATGGTGTCCGTGCGTGAAAAAGGAGAAGGAAAGCGTCTGACACGAGAGAGGCTCCAGCTGAGCCCAAGAACAGTCAACAGAAAGGTGGCGCCAGCCTACACTCCTAGCAGCTTCAACTCTAATGTCGGCCCTTCAGATCCATCAAAAGCTTCCTCACAGGTTGTCTGCTTATGTCTCAAACCCTAGACACATCGGACCCGGAAGGCAAACAGCCAAGCTGCTCAAACACCCTCTGCACACAGCTTTGATAAATGACCCATGGATTAGCTGTATTTTCCTAAGAGACAAACCCTGGCCCCCACAGTGAACTGTTGATTCTGTTCCAGTTCGAATATGTCGACCCTCGTCTGCAAATGGGCTGCGCAATCCACCGGAAAGGCCAGTTTCGGCTCCTTCGGGATCATCTCTGGGTCCTCATCGCCCTCAACATGGGTGCACCTAAGTGCAAATGACGCTACAAGGGGCTCCTGGCATCGCTACTAGGAACAAGGGCCTTACTACTAGGAACAAGAAGCTAGTAGAAACAATATATAAATATTTTTAATTGGAATTTAGGGTAATTAGAAGATACTTTGATGGGTCAAGACTCCACCAAGCTGTGCACCTTCTCACATCAAACCTTCTACTCGCCCTCTATGCCTTACTCTGAAGGTGAGTTCCAGCTGGTCAGTCCCGTCAAAAAGAATGGAATCAACCCCTTTTAACTTATCCACATATCTGTGTATGTAGCTTCCGGTGTGCGAGGGAACTTGGTCGGGGGTACGTGCCTGTTGCATACGTGCCTGTTGCCCAATCACTGCAAGTAGCACTTGCCTTGTGGGCTCAAACCTCTGGTCCTCTACATACCAGGCTATCTAAATGAGCATGTGCCAAAAGTCTGTGGCCTAGACTGGTCTGTCAAGGAAAAGGGCCAAACCCTTTATAGCTCATTCCCTCGGTGTTATTTCTTGACCCACATCCAAATCATCAAGATCAATTGACTGAAGCATGAATAGTAAAATACAAAGTGGACAGGTCACCTCCACCCAAAAGTTCCAGAAGCACCACAACCCAAGACCCATGCCAAGCCAACAATCCAAAAATGACTATTATACATACAGGTCAGGCCTCACCTAGGAGCACCTCAACAACAGAGTCAAATTATGAGCGTGTCAAATTGTAGACAAGGCGCTGACCACCCTGCTTCAACAGAAAGCTGTTGGCTTTGCCGACTTCACCCACCAAGCGAATGTTTTGCTCCACCTTGCAGGACTGACAGAAAGACGGTGGATTTCAACTCGCTATGGATCCCTCAGTCATCGGAATGATCATGTCTTCTCTAGTCCATCCAACCATCCTCTTAAATTCTGCCCCCGGCAGCTTGCACCACCAAATCTTTGAAAGCGCTAGCACTACACAGCTTTAGACTTGCTTGCTGGGGAGTGAAGACTGTGACTGCCTTGGCTTCCCGACTGGTGGGAAGGAACAGCTTAGTAGCATCAGGGTCCCATCGCCCTCCTCTTCTGAGGGTCGCAAACACAACCCAGCAGAATGCTTCAATAAGCGCCCTGCGGCGGCACACGAAATAAGACAAGACAGATTGGAGTCACACTCTTCAGCATTCGGAAGCCGGTGCCAAGCTTGTCATTTTCCGGCTCAACTGATGCTGTGAAGTCATTCTCACAGGATGCTTCCCTGCTTCCTCTTTGTTTGATCGGCATAGTAGAAACACTGGTTTTCACTCTTAGAATCTTAGAAGACGCCTTCCTGGGCCCAGCGTAGCTGCTCAGCAGTCAGCGGAGGTCTGGAGATGGTCTGCCTGTGAAGTAGGCTATCACGCCGGTGCCTGCAATGCGATGTGAAAACGAACTGCCTTCCCCGGACCTTCCCATCAGTGTTGGGTCTGAAAAGAAAGGGAGGTGACCTGTCGGAGTTCCTAGGCTAAGCCTGATTCAAAGAAAGTGGGCCGAGTCGATCAATACTCATAGAAAGAACTGTGCGTGTATTGCAGCAGAAATGTCAATTGCTTGAGTGAGCCAAATCGATCAAGGGGATCAAGGTAGCTGATCTGGTGAAGGTATCACAAGTTGTCAAGTCGTGCCTAAATTGCAGCTTGTCACACTCCTTCTCTGAGCCCCGTTCTCTTGTGGGCTTGTGATGGACTCGGACCTCACAGCAGTGCGAAGTGAGGTGCAAACAATGAACAAAGAGGTGATGATTCCTCCACTTCCGAAATCACAAGTTTTTGAGGAGAGCTTAGTAGCCAGACTTGACCAAACAAAATGACGGGCGAAGAGGGGCTACCAAACTGTGGCAAGGAAACAAAACAATGAGGAGGTCGAATTGCCTTTTGTAAAGGAAAAGTGGAAAGCTAAGGACAGTGTACACCAGCGGTATGTACCAGTAAGTTTCTGAAACATCATGTTCATTCGTGAGAAGCAAAAGTTGGCAACTGTGAAGATTCGACAAATCTCTGCAAGGCACATGCCGGCAGTCTAAATCTTTTCGACAGGAGCTGTCAGTCTGATAGTTCCAAATGCAACGGTCCAATTGAGCTGACTTGAAGGTGTCCCATAAGCCAACATGTTCCAGCGCGCTTTGGCTACCTGAAAAACCGTGCAGAGGAGAAACAACGAGATATACAAAAGTTACGCACAGCACAGGCCATGAAGCTAGTGTTCCCCATGTTTTTTGATAGACCCGAATACATTCCCCGGCATGCCTGCTCAACTTATGCAATCCTCTCTAGCTACATGCATGATGCATGTGTCACCTCTCAAGCAGCCACACCCTCTCACAATTGTAGCAAGAAAAAATATTTGACTCCTTAGCAGAACGTGGCCTGGGCTTTTCCTGTAGAACAAGGTGTAGAAGAAGCCCTGCGTTGCTGCACAAAGGGCAGAGGAAGGTGTTTCTTTTTTTGCTCAGCAAGCAACACTTCACTTGGGCAGAAGAAGGACCACTGTTTCCTTATTGGTTCTCCACCATTTGAGTCAACCAAGCTTGAACAAGTCGACTCTGGGGTACAATCATGGCAATTCTGTTCATGTGTTGCCTTCAGCTTGTCCCCCTACTGCGCCAATTTCCGGAAAGGGACACGACACGACACCGAACTAGATGAGCCCAGCTTATTCAGCTTGATGTATTGCAGTATAAAACTGGTTCCAGTATCATAATTGACTTGCTTCATCTGAAAACGCCAACGAATGATGTGTGGAACTGTGGGACAACGAGCTTTCCTTGAAAATCAATTCTGTCAAGAACTTCTGCTTATGAGTCTCTCCTTGCCTCCATGGGCGCTGACTACTCGCGACCCCACAACTCATGCAAACTCACCACTTGTACAGTCAAGTTGCAGAAACAAACTGGAATCGGATGAAGGCGTATGAATTGCAGCAAAGTTTGGCTAAGCAAGACTCTAGTGGGAGTGGAGTTGGTGAGAGGCACTGTTCAACTAGCAAGTTCTTCGAGCGCCAACGACCAAGGAGACTGGAGTTGTTGAAACGTTTGGTTGAAGCACATTGTATTTGGACACCTGTTGCCACACGTGAATCCCACGCCACTTCGCCCATTCTCCTGTCCGCACTCGCCACCCACATAATAGCCACCATTCGGCGCCCAGCCAGCGCCCCCCCAGCCAGTGTTGTGGTCGAATGCATTTTGCTGAGCAAAGAAAACCTCGGATTCCAAAGACGTTCATGAATATCGTTGAAACTGGATACATTAAGAAAAGGTCAGAGCTTTTCAGGAAGACAGAGAACAAAAGAAACATGCCTGCATAGCTCTTCCCTCACTGTTGCTTGCATTTGGTATATTCCACCAGAGGGCTGCAGCCTCCACCAAACGCCGGTCTGGCTTCACAGCAAAAAAGCCCACGTTCAATGCTTCTCCCATACCTCCGGAAGTACTTAAGAACGTCCTGAGCTCCGAGAACCAGTCAGCAAAGACTAAATGGGTTCTTGACTACGTTTACCATATGCCCTTTGATCTTTCATGTTTATCTAGATCACACTAGACTAATTTGTTTTCACTCAAATTTTGATGACCCAACACGTCTGACTGTGTTTCTGAGCGTCCCTGAAGCTGCGCACCGCATCATTGGAGTGATGTCGCCCTGGCAGGAAGTGGACGCTGATGGAGGAGGTAGTGTCTGACACGATTCTTACAAAGCACAGTGTTGCTGGTAGCTGCACAAAATCTAGGAATCTTACTACAGTCACACTGCCACGCAGCTTTCATGGATAAGGGATTTTCGAACCGTCAAAGGGAGTTTGTTTGGTAACACGCACAACGAATGAATTGTTCGCACATGGGCAAGAGGCAACTGACTGGAACGGCGGGAAAAGCATAGATCCCGGCCCCTCATCTGAAAGGCATGTCTATGAAAAGCATGCCCTGCAACCCATGCTGGGAACACCAATGCTCGCATACAACGAGGCCCAAGCACAATTGGGAAACACCCCTCAAAAGCTCAAAATTGCTTGAAGATAGTCTGCTATGCGCTTGCAGCCTCCCAGCTAGTTCCCTGCTTTCCACATTACCTTGGGAGGACATGCATGCCATTGTATGTACCCCCAGCATTCTTTGGTCCCGTAACGGAAAGCCCAGCTTTTCACGGAACGTCGTTCCAGCGGCCTGAAACTCGCAATCACCATCAAAGTAAGCCACCGCATCATAGCCCTCGAGGCCAAGGACATTTAAGCGAATCAGATCTTGGTGTCCACACCAATCCTCAGAGCATTACTACTAGGAACAAGAAGCTACTAGGAGCAAAGGGCATCGCTACTAGAAGCAAGGACGCTACTAGGGGCTCCTGGCCGTACTACTAGGAACAAGAAGCTACTAGGAGCAA